TGTTACACTGAGAGGTGTGGTGTGGAAGGAAAACTCCTCAAAGTTGGCTGTAACATAAACAAAGGTGGTTTATTAGGCCTCCTTCAACACAGCATAGCTCATGGACAAGGCAAATTTTTCCCAACAGTCTCTTAGCTTTCAATCTCTCTGCTTCAGACTCTCAAGGTTTCTCCCTCTTCTTGGCTCAGCCAACAGTCTCCTTATATACTGTTGTCCCCACCTTCTCAATTAACTGCCCAGCCAATCAAAGTCCGGCAAACATGGGCCTCCTCCCCGGCAGGCTCCAAGATGGCCGCCACAAGGACACACCCAAAAGGCAACAAACACTAAACAAACAAAAGGATCACATACACACACTTTAGAACTCAAACGCCACAGAAAATATTATTGCTTCTTAACATTTACTCACTTCCTCCCCCTCTGGTTTACAGAACTCAGGTAAACGAGAAAGGTAGTCAGCAATAAGATTTTTCTTACCTGGACAATGCTGTATGGTGAACTGGTATGGCTGAAGGGCAAGGCACCAACGTAATATACGGGCATTCTGATGCTGCTTGGAATGCATCCACTTCAGAGGTCTGTGATCAGTTTGCAGAGTAAACTCCCTTCCTAGGAGATAATATTTTAAAGAGTCCAAAGCCCACTTTATTGCAAGTCCTTCCTTTTCAACTGTGGAGTACTTTTTCTCCCGGTCAAAAAGCTTTTTACTTAAGGACAGGTTTTTCTTCACCAGCTTCTCCCTGAGCTAGCACTGCTCCAAGACCAACATTTGAAGCGTCCACTTGAACAACAAATGGCTTGGAAAAGTTAGGACTCTGTAAAACAGGAGCTTGACAAATCAGTTTCTTTAAAGATTGAAATGCATGTTCACAGTCCTCCTTCCACATAATTTTAGAAGTAGACCTTTTTGTCAACTCAGTCAGAGGGGCTGCCAAAGTTGAGAAATGGGGTATAAATCTTCTATACCACCCAACTAAGCCCAAAAATGATCTCACTTGCTTCTTTGTTTGAGGTCTGGGAATTGTTTGAATGGCTTTTACTTTTTCAAGTTGTGGCTTTATCTGTCCATGGCCAACAAGGTAGCCCAGATATTTTACTTCTTCTTGTGCCCATGCACACTTGTTCACATTCAGAGTGAGACCAGCATTCTGGATCCTTGCCATTACAACCTTTAGATGCTGTAGGTGATTCTCCCAAGTTTCACTGTAGATCACATCATCATCCAGGTAGGCAGCAGCAAACTTTGAACAGTCACTAAGGATAATGTCCATCAACCTTTGAAAGGTAGCTGGTGCTCCATGAAGACCAAATGGTAGAACCGTGTAATGAAATAAACCCATTCCTGGAATCTGAAAGGCTGTGTATTCCTTACAGGATGGATCTAAAGGCACTTGCCAGTAACCTTTACATAAATCTAAGGTTGTGATGTATTTGGCCTTCCCCAGTCTTTCCAGTAGCTCGTCAATGCGTGGCATGGGATAAGAATCAAAACAGGAAATGCTGTTTAACTTTCTTAAGTCAGAACAAAAACGTAGTTGATTTGAGTCTTTTTTAGGAACCAACACAATGGGATTTGACCACTCACTTCTTGATGGCTCTATAACTCCCATTTCCAGCATCATCTGGACCTCTTTTTTCAGTGGATCCATCATTCTTTCTGGAATCCGGTAAGGCTTAAGACGAACAGGTGTTGTATCTTTCAAAGTTATTTTGTGTGTTATAATTTCAGTTCGCCCAGGTACATCTGCAAACAGAGATGGAAAAGACCCTTTAATCTCACCCAGCTGTTGCCACTGATCAGGAGTCAGATGCTTAGGAGCCTCTTCAGATTTGGTCAATTCTCTGCATGGACTCATTTCAGCTTCCCCATCTTTCAACATGGCACTGTCTTCTGGCTGAACATCTTGTACCATCAGGATCTGCTTCACATCCATTTCTGGAACATTTCTTTCATGATACTCCTTTAATAGATTTACATGAAGCAGTTGCCTTGACTTTTGTTTTTCTGGACAGATAATTTCATAAGTCACTGGTCCTGCTCTTCTAACCACAGTGTAGGGTCCTTGCCATTTAGCAAGCAACTTACTTGGCCCACTGGGCAAGAGTACTAAGACTTTCTGGCCAGTCTTCAGCTCTCTTTCACGGGCACGTCTGTCGTACCATACCTTTTGCTTATGTTGAGCCTTCTCCATATGATCTTTAACTTGTTCTCTGTACTTTTCCAGGTTGTCTCTCATCTGAAGTATGTAGGAGATGATGTTTGTTGGTGAAGCCGCTTCACTGGATCCTGACGCCGCTCCAGCCACCCAGTTCTCCTTCAGCATGTCCAAAGGGCCTCTAACCTGTCTCCCATATAGCAACTCAAAAGGAGAAAAACCAGTTAAGGCTTGTGGTACTTCTCTGTAAGCAAACAAAAGGAAAGGCAACCATTTATCCCAGTTTTTGCCAGTATCATCAATAAACATTTGCTTTAATGTACCATTAAATCGTTCTACCAAACCATCGGTTTCTGGATGGTATGGAGTAGTACGAATACCTTTTACACCCAGTTGATCATAAAGAGTTTTCATCACTTGTGACATGAAATTGGTACCCTGATCTGTCAGAATCGCCTTTGGGATACCAACTCTGGAGAAAAGGTCTACTAAACACCGAACAATGTGTTTGACCTGCAGAGAACGTAATGGATAAACATCTGGATATCTGGTTGCATAATCACAGATGACTAATGCATATTTATAGCCATTACTGCTCTTAGGTAAAGGACCTATGATATCCATGGCGATTCTCTCGTAAGGAACACTCATTATAGGTAATGTCTGCAACTGGGCACGGTCTGAAACTTTAGTAGGGGCCACCAACTGACAGTCATGACATGTTTTGCAGTATTCAACTACATCTTTATATAATCCTGGCCAATAAAAACGTTGGGCAATACGATTATAAGTTTTTGCCTGTCCTAAGTGCCCTGACCATGGTATAGTGTGACCCAAATGCAGAATTACTGAACGGTATTCTTTTGGCACAACAAGTCTGGGTTCATCAATGTCTGCTAGATACAAAAGATTATCCCTTATAATGAAAGGCTCTCCTGCTAAACTTTTAAACTCAGCAGCACTCTCTTTTCCACCATCTTTATGTGCTTTATTAAAGAGAGGTTTCAAAGATGGATCGTTTTCTTGTCTCTCTTTAAAGTTGTTAGGAATTTTCCACTGGAAATCAATACATGGAGTTAATGGTAATGCAGTTTCAGGGTGTTTTGACCTGCTTTTGTTCTTATTTTTCTCGTGTCTACACTGTCGTTTTGATTTCCTGATTTTATTTCCTCCTTCATACAGATCATCTACATCTGGCAGAGGTTCTAAACCTTTTCATGGAACGTGTGGTGACAGCACAGGAATAAGCCACCGAGTTTTCTTGAACCAAACTGTCTAGGATTGGTAAATGTTCTCCTAGGATAACATCATATGCTAACTGATTCAAAACTCCACCAGTCAACATAAAAACTTGTTCTTCAACATCAATAGTGACATTAGCAGTTGGATATTCTTTCTGACATCCATGAACACAAGTAATGTTTACCGGTTTGCTAAAGTTAGGCAGTACATTACTCAACAAAGATGATTTCACCAGAGTTTGTGAGCTACCCGTGTCTGCAAGAGCTTTTACAGCTTTGCCATTTATCACCACATCAACTACATGTTTATGTGGAATCATGTCATCAGAAAGTTCATAATTATGTTCTTTGCAAGGTACCACACATAACTCTGACTTACTTTTTCTTAATGGGCATAAAGAAGCTTTGTGACCAGGCTGCTGACAATAGTAACAAATGAGACCATACTTTAGTCCAGACTGTGTATACTTCTTACCACCCCTCTTGTCCAAATTGTCAACATTAGTTGCACCTGGAGGTTTTACCTCCATAGACCTTGGTCTCTCAGTCTCTCTTGACTTAGAAGGTTCTCTATGAGCAGCCAGGTAACGTTCAGCCAGGTCTGCCGCTTCCTCTCCAGTCTTTGGATTGTTCTCCTTCACCCATGTGCGGACGTCTGGTTGAAGCACACGTAGATACTGCTCCAAAATGATTGTTTCCCCAATGTCTTCTTTACTTCGACTGTCAGGCCGCATCCATCGCTTGTAGAGTCCCTTTATCCGACCGTAGGTTTCACGTACACTCTCTCCCACTGGAATACTGATGCTTTGAAACCGGAATCTGTAGGTCTCTTCTGTTACATTAAACTTAGACAGCACAGCGGTTTTAATAGAGTCATAAGAGTCAGACTGGTCCTCATCCATTCCAGCATATGCCTCAAGGGCTTTTCCAGTCAATAATGTGACCACTCTAGCAGCCCATTCAGCTGGTTGCCATCCCCACGTTTTAGCAATGCGTTCAAAACGTATGAAAAAACTTTCAGGATCCTCACCTTCCTTAAAGTCAGGTATTCTCGGATCACCTCCACGGGTTGGTTCCACTCTTTGTGCTGGAGCTCCTTGTGCTATATGCCGCTGGGGCTGAGATGGAGAATGAGGTTCAGCTTGGTAATCAGAGGCTCCTTGGACTTCCTCTGTTGCAGACAGCTGAGACAGTGTCCTAGTCTCTCGCTTTGGGAAAGCTGCTTCTGTAGAAATGCCAGTCTCGATAGACAGCTCATGTTCAGCATAAACATCACTTTGCACTTTGGCATGTTACTGCGCAACTGTTTAGTCTGATCAAACAGTATTGCTTCTGTTCGTTTAGAACGTCACATAAATTATCTTATTTCATCAAAGATGTCAGTTTCAGAATGTTCTTTACTCACAGCACCAACTGTGGTCTGCTTAGGCTGGACAACCGGTTCAAAAATGTCTTCACCAGCCATGGCTCCTTCAGGTAGTGAATCCGGCTCTGCTGGTCCTCCGCTTTGTCCTTCTTCCATCTCAGAAAGGGGACTTTTCTTTGTCCCACGAGTTCTTCCACATCCTACTCCTCTCATTTAGCCTGTTGTCTTCCTTCATTCACAGGC